ATGACCCCTTGTTTGTTGCTTTTTGGTGCTTCAAGCCATCCCTATATCCCCCTTTCATTTTGAAGAAATGATTTTTCCACTTGTATACTATGGATTGCTGCACACTATTAACTAATGCTATTCATCTGCATACACACACAATATATATAATTATATATGTACCTCTTCTCTCTTCAGTAGCAACTGCTTCTCTTTCTCACTCCGTATCTTTGTGGTCTTCTTCTTCTTCTTCCTCTTTCTCTTCCGCCTCACTGAGACTCCAGGGAGCACCTCAATCTCTCCCTCACTCTCCTCCTCTTCCACATCCTCCTCTTCCCTCTCATCCTCCTCTCCCTCCTCCTCCTCTCCCCCCTCCCTCTCATCCTCCTCTCCCCCTTCCCTCTCATCCTCTTCCTCTTCCCTCAATCGACCAAACTCCTCCCCTGCCTCACCACAATCATCTTCTTCCTCACACTTCCCCTCTGAAAATGTAAGTTGCAAGTTGCGTTCGTTTTAAATATTCATTTTTTTCAGTTTCATAATCGCTTACTCTTTCTCCGCTTCTTCCCTGAGGATTTCTTGTCTTTGGCCCTGGTCTCACACAACAAATCTTTCCCTTCTTTGTGCCGTGGAGTAGCTGGTGATGTGAGGTCACCAAAGAAATCCAGAGCAGCTGTAACTGACTGCCCTCCCGCCTTCTTCTCTTCCCCTGTCCCTCCCTAAGACCAACGCCGTTAAGCACTAAATAGAGTAAGGGAGGCGACTCACACGAAGGAAAGCGAGGTCTGTCTTCAGTTTTTGTCGGTCGAAGCGAGCCCCACTCGTTAGACGACGGAATATGTCCTCCGTGTCCACCATAGCCGTCGGTAGGGGCGAAAGTGTCAGAGTCAGGCAACGTGTTTTACGAATTAACCCTTTGATTCCCTAATATCTTGACCTCTGACCTCATTTTTAACTCGAATCGCGCGGAGGGTAGAAAGCACTGGCACTGCAAAGTTGGTAGCACAGTAATCTCTGGTAGCAGAGCTACAGAGGCTCGAGACATGGAGTCTAAGAAGCTGAAGCTAAAGGTTCACCATCGCAATTTCTCCGGTGAGCCTATAGCAAGCCGCTGTGTCGGAGCAAAGACCTCTGTAAAGCACAACACTGCAACTGTCTTTATTCATTTGGCGTGCTGTGTTCAGCCGAGGATCTGATAGTAAACCCCGAGGCTCTGTCGAAGGAGAAGTTTGAGATCAGAGAGGGCGACTTGCTGGAGATATTCCCCCCGGATGACCACCATAACACTTGGAGGTATATACCCAATTTCACCCTTTCAGTTCTGTGGGAAACCTACGAGCAAGAGATTTCATAAGACTTGCATGAATAAGTAGAGAATAATACTTTGTGAATTGTCTGGATTTTCAAGTGGATTAAGATGTCCAACAAATTATTGTGCAAACATGTTTTACTTGGCTCGAAATACGCAAGAGTTTTTCGTGTTCGAAAGTTTCTTGGAAACGTTCACCAACGTTAGCCGATAATGGTGTCTGTGTCGAAATCCTTTCTCCCCCTCCCCTCCCTGTCTCCTCAGATCTCACCTCATACTGAGAGTAAAGACACTGCCTCCAGACATTCAGTCTAAAGGTAGATAAAAAAGTATACACACATCTTCTCTTTCATCGTTTCGTGTCTGCGAACTCACGCACACAATGTTCGCTTGCGTTTGGAATTTCAATCTTTACTATTATTATATATCATTATACACTGTTTGTGTGGCCTATTATATCGTACTGCTGCCATTCTAATGTCATTGGCCTTCTACAGAAATGATGCCTGTACCAACCAGTTAATTGTTGATGCATGTGCGGTAGAGCGCTCGTCTAGACAGTAGAGTGTTGTGGGTTCGATTCCCACCTAGGGCAGCTCTCATTTCTATCATTCTCTCTCTCTCTCTCTCTCTCTCTCTGTGTACAGGAGGGCCATTCAGTATTCTCCAGGAGGTGGCGCTAGCCTTCACCCTCACGGGGCTGCGAGAGGTGTTGGTGAGGAGAGTTGATCAGAGAGTAGTGGCTCTGGATCTCGTGGAGCTCAGCCTCAAGGATCAGTACATCACTCGCAGCGACATGTGGAGAATTACCTGCTCACTGGTATCGGTGAACCTCTTAGCAATCAGACATCGACGGAAAAATTTAGCGGCCATTGAAATTTGGTCTGTATATTCGAACCCCTACCTGCTGAGTTTCCCTGGTACCCCAGTTGGTGGAGCGCTTGTCTAGACTGCAGAGTGTCGTGGGTTTTAATCCCATCCAGAGCAGCTCTTCTTTCCTCGAGTTGTTCTGAGTGTAAATGAGTTTGTTGCACTTTGCTTTGGTTTCATTGCTGACACACACAGTCACCTAGCACTATTCACTATGTACTACATGCTGCTGAGGATTCACTAATTCCACCTCTCTCTCCTATCAACTGCTATATACAGCTGGGCAGATGTCTGTATAGTGGCCAGCACCTGGAGCACTGCAGCATGAGACTCCAGACCCACTGTCTCTGGTACCAGGGAGACACTGTCACCTCGGGAGCCATCGCCAACACCACCAGGGTCCGGTACTCTTGACAACTTGTGGTTCAGTCTGATGCACATCTCTTCCATATACTGTTCTAGAGCACTTCTGAAATGTGGCTGTAGAGTCATTTTCTTTTGAATCACCCACGAAAATTATTGTGGGAGGAGGGATTTTTTTCTGCCAAAATATGTTTTTTCCATGAAAATGCTTTCTGCTACAAACGTGTTTTACTATACATCTCATGTGGTTTTACTTGCAAATATTTCACACGTATCATGTGATCTTTGTGTTACTCCATTTCACGACTGACTGTGTTACTTCAGGTGGTGTTCAGATCCCTGTCGGCACAGGTCTTTATCTTCATTCAAATCAGCTCCGAAATGTGGGACTTTGACCCAAACGGTAATAATATGGGAAAACTCTAAATAAGGGACACCGTCCTTAGGGACAACGAAAGTGTCATTTATGATTGGGTGTCCCTCTTTCGGAGGTAATTAATACACTGGTAATTAGTATGGGGCAGAACCCTTTAGTTAGGTGGCATTTATTCAGAGCATACTTTTCAAAAGTTCCACTTAGTAATACAAAGAGAAGGAAGAACATGAGCACTTAATGTCAATTAACGCGGTTTCAAAAAGCTACCTACATATACAACAGCCACCACGTGATCTGCCATATCTGCAGGTGAGTTTTTCTTTGACAAGGCAGTGGGTGGGTTTCTGAGGGAGCTGTTTGTGAGGTGGAGAGAGGCTGGTTGTAACCATGACGTCACCATCATCTTCTTCTGGAGACTGCACTTTGACCCCTCCCTCTCAAGTATATATACACATTCATATATACACATGCCATTGGTAGCGGAACTTTTGAGGAGGAAAAAGTTGGTTAAGGGCCAAAAAATTTGGGATAAAACGATCTGCTTATGATTCGTGCAAGTTTTCTCTGACAAAAATGTCATGCTTTACAGTACATTTTTAATGGTAGAGGTTACAATTTTCTATAATGATGTGTATGTCACATATTATGACATCTCTTGTGTAGGGGATAGTGTGTCTATTTCTTCGTCTGTTCGGGAAGACAAGAAGAGAGGTCTTCTGTATGAAGATTTCTTCAGGTGAGAGCACTCGAAAGTAAAATTCCTAACTCCCCCACTCTTTTTATACCCGGATACAGAGTGATTGTCGAGAGCACGTCCAATTCAGACTGGTCTTCCGAACTCATCAACATCAAGAAGTCGTTTTTGAAGCTGAAACCGTTGATCGACAGCCTGAGGGGCAAAGGTACCTACATGTACACCTTCACAGCACACTGTTCTGTGCCACTGAGTACGGTACATAGTACACCTACGTATTGTATAGAGATGGTAGATGTATGGGGCTCATATGGGGTGTGTACAATATGCAGCCAATGCTGAGCTGACTGAGTACGGTACATAGTACACCTAGTAACATAATACACCTAGCATGGTAGATGTATGGGGCTCATATGGGGTGTGTATATGCAGCCAATGCTCAGCTGACTGAGTACGGTAGTACACCTAGTGACATAATACACCTAGCATGGTATGTAGATGTATGGGGCTCATATGGGGTGTGTACAATATGCAGCCAATGCTGAGCTGACTGAGTACGGTAGTACACCTAGTGACATAATACACCTAGCATGGTAGATGTATGGGGCTCATATGGGGTGTATATATGCAGCCAATGCTCAGCTGACTGAGTACGGTAGTACACCTAGTGAATGGAGATGGACATTAGCATCATGGATGTATGGGGCTCATATGGGGTGTACATGTATATGCAGCCAATGCTGAGCTGTGTAAGTCTGAGGAAGGGAACATTCTGGAAGCCATCAACCTTGCCTTGAACAGTGAGTGAGTACTGTACATGTATATACAGTTGGGACCACCGTATAATGGGGAAAAGACGGAGGGAGAGAGAAAACTGTCACGAATATTTATCCGCAAAATATTTCTTTCTTAAAGCTCCAAGTTATGGCCAACATTCAAGCAAATTTTTAACTAGCATACGAGAACACCCATAAGATAGCAGAGTGTTTTCAAGCTTGAAATTCACTCTATGGTATATATACACCTTTCTTGATAGTTCCCAAGGGTGAAGACTAGTCCCTGACACTTGTTTACTTGTAACTCTGTTTGGATTAACCACGTATAACTCTGTCCTAGTCATGGAGCGACAGAATTTGGACACCAATCTTCAGCTGTCCGGTCAGCAGATTGTGGTACTTACTGCCGGCACTGGCTACTTCGAGGTACTGTATGTTTATACTCCAAGTCTTGTTGGCAATACATACGTACGTTGCATTGCCCTGTTTGTTGTGCCATGACACGAAGTTAGAAAAGGATCGTATCCTCGCGACGTGACAATGCAGTGTGGACCTAGACTTACACATTGTTATAATTAGGCCATCTACAAACTTCTGTAACATTTTTGCCGCCCATTTAAAATCTAGCAGTTAGGTAGATATTATGTAGAATGTCAATTGCAGATAGACAGGGAGCTGATGCAGATCACCAACGAGAGGCTGGTGTGTGGAGGAGTGACTGCAGATCTAGTCAGTATGAGAGACCAACCTCTCCACGCCATGCCCATGTTCAAGGTCAGCGCTGGTGCCACACCCCCACCTTCTAATCCTCCTGTTAACACCAGCCACGGACACATGTGTCGCCAGCATCCATAAGTCCATATGAATTTATATGGGGATTATAATACTAGGCGCTAATACTTTATACATCGTTTCCGGCTTATTTATGCAGATACCCATGGCGTCCAAAGAGTTAATTAAAGCCAAAATACATATAGTTGACGAGATATATAGAGAGAAAACTTTCATAAATTTCGCTGCTTTTAGTGAGCTGACCGCATTTGCACAGTTGAGCACAGATTTTTTCCATGAAATGTTGTTTCCAAAGTTCCGAAAAGTTTCTCCCTACTGTAGGACGGTGTATGTTCGTGCACAGTGTACTGTTCAAATCGAGATTTTTTATTCGCAAATTTTTAGCATGTGTGTATACATTACAATTGTGTCATTCTTTTAGCTCCAAATAGTTATGTACAGGGCCTCAGTACCTCTCCCCATCATACATTATGCAAGTGTTTTGTTCTAGTACACCGTCTTTTAGCAGCCACAGATATTTACATTCATGCGGCCTCTCCCCCCATCAGTTCCACAGTAAGGATGAGGAGTTTTTCTCCGTACCTCACTGGATCAACTACAGCTTCTACAGCTCCACTAGAGGCCGCGTCCAGAGACGGTTCCAGCCCAGAATATACCTCTCAGATCACCTGGTATTCTATTCAAACCGTGGAACAGCTACTGCAGTAAAAAGTTGGAGCAAAGCCTTAACACTTAACCAGCCACTGACGCGTCCAGAGCCTCCATAAGTCCATAAGAATTTATATGGGGGTTATAATACTATGCGCTACATAAAATTCTGCTTGTTTAAGGAGATACCCATGGCGTCCAAAGTGGTGGCAATTTCACATGCACACTACTCAGTGTGGCAGCGATGCATGTATTTTAGATATCGCAATTCGAAAACCCTGCTATTTCCTTCACTTCCGTCGGCGATGAAATCTGTATTGGTTACACCGTGTTGTGAACATTCTGTGCAGGTGAACAACTATCTTCAGAAAGACCCAGCAAAACCGGCGAACGGGAGGCTATATCGCCCAAACACTGGTTTGTGCAACAGTTCAAATTCAATCCTATACACGTCAGTCTTATGACCAAAGCTAGCCCAATTACAGTAGAACCTTCGATAGAGGACACTCCGAATAAAGGACACGTCTCAATAGGGGACGCACATTGATGTCCCAATCGTTCACTTTTCTATCATTCTAACCTCCAAAGAGAAGACAACGTCAGTATAAAGGACGAAACCCCTGGTCCCAATGTGTCTATTGTTTGAAGGTTCAACTGTATATCATCAAGCTGGTTCAATCACACCTGTCTAACCTTCTCTCCCTCCTTCCTCTCTACTTCCCTCCTCTCTCCTTCCCTCCCCTCTCTCCCTCCCTCTCTCCCTCCCTCCTCTCTACTCAGGAGCTCTATCAACAGCAACAGACCCCCAGCTGCGAACGTGGATCGACACAGACAGGTACGATGGAGCCGTTTTCAAACTGCCGAACGCCCGTGCCAGAACCAAGGTGTACAGCGTGGCACGGATGGCCGAGGGTGGAGGTAGGGTAGGGGGAGAGGTGTCCAAACTGGCGGAGAGAGAAGTGGGGGAGGAGAGCGGTGGGTCACCTAGTGGAGGAGGCCCTATAGTTACCTTCCGTTTGGGAGACACGGAGTAAGTGGCATGCAAGACTGCATTCTTTATCACTATTACATATCTACAAATGATGTATACTAGAGCAATGTAATATGTTTTAATTGGTGAGCAAAGTGAGCAGTTCTATTTTTCACGTGTTTTAATGCATATTTAGAATCCAATTTGTTTTTTTTTTTTCTGGCTTGTAGTCCGTTTGATGGTCCACATGACAGCATATCTCCGAGCCCAGAATCTTACCCCACTGAGGTATGTAAACATACGTATATGTAGCCTAGTGCCTTCTCCATAATATTATGCTAGATACACTTTGCTTTGCAGCGAAGTGAGCCCACGACCCAGTCGTATGAATTGTACGATTTTTTGTGTTTCTGAATATGCAAAAATTACTGAAATTTCGCACTCACGTTTGCTTGTAATTTTCTGCATTCGATCATATTATTCTGCATGGTGATATATAATATGTATATATAGGTTGACGCCAGTCCTCGTCAAGCACAGTTCACAAGGTCTTTGGCACCCCCGAGACGTGAGTTATGTAGCTATACGGAATGGTATATCCATAGCAAACTGCCGCATACCAGGTTTTCATTTTGGGAACTATTTTACCATAAACACACAAGTGTCTCCTGCTGTTTGCGCACAAAGAATGAATTTCGGTCTAAAAACTAACCCCCGATGTGATAATTACAGCCTGAGCCTCCATGTCAATGTTGAAACCCCAAACAATTTTACAGGATCTTTTAATTAAAGGCATCTCCGTGATCTCTCTCTTGCCCAGAGCGCTACAAGTCTGAAAACTACGGAGACGGAACTGCCGACAAACCCGGCTCCTCCCTCACGAGACGAGACCGATCAATCTTCACCTCAGTTGGGAGTGCCGAAGGCCTCCGCCAGGGCTCCACCCCCTGGGACACCTACCACGACACGCCCGGCAATGACTGCCCCGCCCAGCAGAAGAAGATCCTCTCCTTCAGCAACCCCTTCGACCCCAACAAGATCCACTCGGAGGCCCCTGCGTTCCAGCGAAGATGGGTCCACGTTTTCCCGACTAACAAGAGGGGCGTGGCATTCCAGACTCACCACGAGACAGAGGGGGAGCCCCGGAATTCGGACCCTACAGATCCCTCGTGGACGATGATTAAAGTGCAGAGTGCGTCGAGTAGTCCGCAGACTCCAGGTCAGAGAAGAGGGATTCTAAAGCAGTCGGGGTCATCACCAGGGGAAAGAGGAGGGTCGATTGGCGGCTCGCGCAGTGGGAGCTTTAGGGGGAGCGAGAAGGGACCGACGGGTGCTCTCGAGAGGGCCAGAGGTTCTCCGGCGAGTCTGTCGCCCAGGGAGAGACACAGAGAAGGAGGAATGAAAAGGAACAGGAGTTTGCTGTCCACAAACGGGACATCAGTCGCCAATCGGGGCAGTCCCGGATCCGAACCGGGCAGCCGAGCTCTAACGCCGAGTTCATCTCGTCACACCTCGGCCACCAACACCCCCGATCTTCTCCGACGACAGAGGTGGGCGGAGCCTTCCCTCCTCTCCAACACCACCTCCGAGAACAATTTCTCCTCCATCCGACGGACGGGAGTCGACTGGATATCGTTGGTGAAGCCGGCCCACCTCCCAGTGACCACTGATTTCTACCCAGCCAAAGAGATCCTGGACAGAGACTATGCTCAGTACAACTCCAGTCTGATCGTGTTTAGAGAGGACCAGGATATCTCCAGGGACACCAGTAGCCAGGAACTTTAGAGAAAAATTATTTTATGAGAAAACAAGTCTGGCTCAACGTGGTGCAAATGCGGCAGCTCACTAAAAGTAGGCTGGAATCAATATTGAAAAAGGATTCTCTCTCTCTTATTTATCTGCTTCTACTCCCCCTATATGTTTGTTTGGCTTGATATAACTCTGTAGAGAATCTTTGCCTACCAGCCGCTCGAATGGGTGTCACTCTTAGGAGTAATATCACTTAGTCCTCTCTGAGAACACGAATCAGTGACTGGTTATTAGATAGTGTACATGTGTGAGCAGCATTAGTCTCTCGTGTCCCGAGTATCTAGCATTATGGAGTCCCCATGTAGTATAAATTGACATATCTGGACGTTATCGGGAGTATGCTTCGGCACACATGTGTCCGTGACCATAACGTTTAAGTGTTAATCTGTTGAGGTTAGAGACACCCTGCGTGGCGCGGATAGTGAGGAGAAAGGTTGTTCTCGAGAGTTTGGTGTCTGAGGCATTGAGGAGCAAGGCTCCGCCCAATCGCTTGTCTGTCAGTCGCGGTAGAAGAGAGGTCTTGAGTCTCGGCATACTGACTAGAATCTGTTAAGTCACTCCTCCAACACACCAGCCTCTCGGTGTTGGGTGGTGTGCGCGAAGTGAGTGTCTGACATAGCTAGTGTCAGATCACATATACTATCTTGCAGTCTGACATTGGGGTTGATTACTAATGGAGCATCGGCGGATCTCCGTTCGGAGGCCTACGCGGACTAGCCTTAGTACTTTAACCCGATGGAATTGGGCAGAGGAACGTTGACTACGAAGCCTTTTGTGAAGACGCAAAATCCTGTTCTTTTCATTACTCCTTCTCTGCAGTCTCTCCTGGGCGACGAACTCGCGGAGAACATCTGGCCCGCTCTCGTAAACGCACCCGAGTATATAAAAACTCTAATGGTGTCGTTTAAGTCTAGGCTTCCCTCACACTGTAAAGACTCTCAGTTGCGCGCAGCACGTCCCGAACCGACCCTCCTGTTTACCTGGGATGACCCGACTGCTTTGAATCCCTCTCTCTTGACCTGAGTGCTCGGACTAGTGACGCACTGTGCTTATCGTATCCTCATCTCCTTACTGATCGTGGTCGCTGTTATGTAGCTTAGCTGCACAACAGATTCGGCAGACGCACACCCCTCTGTCTCCGTGAGCTCTCGAGTATAGTAGTGTCATGCGACACATCTCTGTTGTCGGAAGATACAGTAGAACCATTTCTCTCGACTGTGGCCATAAAAGCGCACGAGGGTAATGCCCCAGAGTGCCCGATGCAGTATGATTGTAGGCCGGACCGATATAGTCTTGTTTTCCTCTCGCGATAATCGCGTCACGTGGAGATGCTTTGTGTTGACTGATTGAGGGAGCGGTAGTGCAGTGCTGTTATGTCTCGGACGCGCTCTCGTGGTAGGCGACTGGTACTTACGAGGGTGGTACCTGTACCTGTTGAGTACTCCGAGAGCTGCTGTCTGGCAGGTACTCATACTGTGACTCGTATGCGATTGCCTAAGTGATGTGCACTACTGACTTATCGAGCATTATTTGCAGTAAAGCGATGGGAGTGCAGCTCGCGCGAGCGTGTACAATTGTCACCCGTGTGCACACCTAGTATCCGTGTTCTACTGTATGTTTAATATGTAGTAGTAGCCATCTGAGCAGAGCACATGTTACGATGAGTCACAGAATATATATGCGCTTTCAGTCATATTTCTAAGAGTCTCTAGACAGATATTAGGTGCAGTAGCGTGGTAGTCGTATACTTATATGTATGTGATACATGCGAGGAAAATGCTCAGAGACTGCTAGACTTATGACGTACGACAGGAGGTTTAGCGTTGTATTGACAATGGTCTTTGTGCAGTCAAACCAAGACGAGAGACCTTTGTTTTGTTTAATGAGTAAAAGTAGTTCCCAAAGAAGAAGACCTTGTGTGTGCCCAGTGGTGTGTCTATTTATATACCATTCTGTATAGCTACATAATCACGGTGCCGGGTGCAAAACCTTGGTGGTGTGCTTTGACGAGGACTGGCGTCAGAACCTTAATATATACATATTATATATCCCATGTGCACGAATAATAATGATTGAATGCCGAGTGTGTGTCAATAGGTCGTGATAGCAGGAGTGTCTAGAGATTGAGTCAGATAATTATTGAGCATGACTAATCCTCAACGCACGCCAACATAAGACCCATGAGTTCAGATGTATCAAGCACTTGGCACCACACCCCCACCTTATCGATCCACTCGTGTTGAACTCGTGGTAAGCCAGACCATCGCAGCACTATGTCGATAGTCGCCAAGGCATAACTCAGTAGTCCATACTGTACCATTTATGCATGTGGGATTATTATATATCTAGGCGCTGAATGACATTAGTGAGTACCCATCGTTTCCGCTATATTTTATGCAGAATACCCATATGGCATCCAAAAGTATAATATAAAGCCAAAAAATAAACATATAGTTGACGAGATAAAATAGAGAGAAAACTTTCATAAATTTGCACTTTATATAGTGAGCTACCGCATTTGCACAGTTGAGAAGATTTGTTTCCATAATATTTTTCTCTAAAGTCAAAAAGTTCTCCTAACTGCATAAGGAAGTGTATGTTTGTGCACAGTGTATCATGTGTGCATAACTACATAGATACTATTATCTATTCACGATATGTTTACAGCTACCGTTGCCAGCTGGGTATCAAGGTTATTCTCTCGAGATATCGTGTGCAGATTATGTCTTGTGCCTCGCAAATAGTCTCATGCATAAACCGACTCACAAGCACGAGTGATATAAATACAATGAGTAGACAAAGATAGATTATTGGTATTAATATTTTATATATATGTGGTCACGTGAATAAAATAGAACTGCTCATATCAGTCTCATCTCCGTCCTTTACGCACAGCCTACAAGAACATTATTCATGTCTACGACTGTGCTCTCTCCCCTACTATCAGTTTCTCATAGTATAAGTGATGATGGATGTTATATTGCTGACCGTAACAGCATCATGCTGGTCTATAGCATGTAAGCTCTATCTCACGTGTGCTTCCACATAGTGTCGACGATGCGCTCAGAAGGACTGATATGCGCGAGTCCCCAGTGCCATAGGTGACATCACCTTCTCGCATCTGACACTCTTCCCGCAGTTCATTCTCACTCATCTTGAGACCGAATGGCACTCTCAGTCACCTCTCGCCTCAGACTCACATACAGTTCACCCATCCCAGCAAGCTCCGTAACGACCTATAGCGCACAAGCTACTGCACGTTCGGTCTCATGCGCTCGACTGAAGTCCGATAGAGAAGTTAGTCATGTGGGTGTGATAATCAATTCGAAAAGACCTCTAGTCAGTTTACCCTTTACGTCTCCGTGTTCAGCGTCACTCGACGTTCTCGCTGCTAGTTGGTTCTAGCTCATGCGGTGGTGTTGATAGATAAGCATTCTGTGCTCACCTGGTAAGAAGCAGACGTAGTGGAGTTCAGAAGACGCCGAGCAGGGAACCAGCGAGAGGCGAGGAGGCACGTAATGGAGTCAGCCGCGCAGACACTGTTATGATGGCATAAATCAGATATGCTCGAATCAATCTCGTATACACGCTCAGTAATGTAATGACCAAAGTACATACAGTTCCCAACCTATCAAGATCGAAATCATCCTGATAGAGGATCAGCGTACACGATATCTAGTAAATATGTGACTACTGCAGGTTGCAATCACCGGTGGCATCTCGCATCATTGAGGTGTCCGACATGATACTTTAGTACACAATTGTGTCGATCATTCTAACCTCAAAAGAAAGAATTGACATCAAAGACCACCTCTCGTGCAGTCTATTGAGTAGCAGAATAGGATACGTAAATCTTTGGTCTCCATTTTTGTGATCTCCTCCCTGGTGTAGTTGTTTGAACGGTCCTTCAATCGCGTGGTATATGCAATTCAAGCTGGGTTCAATCACACCTGTCTAACCTTCTCTCCCTCCCTCCTCTCCTATCCCTCCGCACTTCGGTGTCTGCCTTACGCTCTTCCGCTCATCTGCCATGTGCGAAGTGAGCTCTTCTTAGGAATAGACAGAACTCTAGCAGACCCCCTCGTTAGCACAAACCACTGCTGTGAACGATGGATCGACGACGGACTTGGGCGTAGTAGCCTCCCGTTTGCTGTTTTGTGGGTCTTTGGAAGATAGTCTCTTCACCTGCCAGAATGTTCACAAACACGGGGGCTTAAACCAAATACCAGGATGCTCATCCCCGCTGACTGAGGCACGTTTTTCAAACTGCAAACGCACCGCGCCAGGGAACAAGGTGTACAGCGTGCTGGCTGCGGATGGAGTGAAGGAATTACGCAGGGTTTTCTGGAGGTAGATTATGGTTAGACGCCGCCAGTAATGAGGATTTCTCATAGGAATCTTAGCTGGAGGAGAAGTCGTCTGGACGCAGTCAGAGTGGCGGTGGTGGTATAAGTGTCTGATTACTGGCCTTAGTGCGGAGGTTGGAACTTTTACCCCTGCTTAAGTTTATACACGCTTTGTTCACTTTTTTGGTAGACCACGGTTGAGTAGATGTACAATGAAAATTGCATCATCTTTATCACTAGTTACATATCTACAAATAAGCTATTTTACAGGTAGAGGCAATGTAGGTGATACTCGACTAGAATGGTTATTATGTTCTGATGGCTTGGAGCAACGTACTGTCGCATGGCAGTTCTATCCCTCTCTTCAGCTGGGATGTTTATAATAGGAAGTATAGTTACGAATCCGTTGAATTCAGTGAATTGTGTTTGTTTTTTTTTCTGGCTTAGTAGTCCCGTTTTCTGGATGGTCTACGTTGAGCAGAACATATCTCCTCATCCTTTACGATGTGCCACAGATCTTACTGGCACTCA